GCGGTTTTTCTATCGTCTTCAGGTATTCTGATTGAGCACTTCCTTCTACAGTTACAGTTAATGTTATGTAAACTCTTAGCAGGCACTACCTTGTGTGAGGGACCAACATATTCACATTCCAAATTTCTATTTCGTTTACGAATTGACTTCATATATTTTTCGGGTTCTCTGTAACGCTTTCTACCTTGACATTTATGGCGTTTTTCAATAAGATTAGATTGATTATCTCCATATCGGACTATGTTCAACTTGATCCTCTGCAATAAATTTTAGGTTATGTTTTACGTAAATAGAGCAATTTTGCACACTAATACCTGATAACGATGATTCCGCATCTTCTAAGTTTCCTGGCTCATATTCTCTTTCACTTGCACCAAGTGGTTCTATTTCTGACTCATTAAAACTCATCTTTTAACGAAATTCGGGAGTAGTAAAATAACGAATGTTAGTTGACTTTCAAAGCTAGAGTGGTCTAAGTCAGACTTGTATCATTCTGGCTGTCAATGAAATGAGGAAGTCATTGCGTGCACGCAATTGTAACGACATCTACGGATAAACTACTGGAAGAGTAGTTCTCATATTTGTTTACAGTATAGATTCCTATATCGTAAAGTTGCAACTGTCACTATCTCAGATGCGCAATTTTTTTACTTAGACCACTCTGGTTTTCAAGGGCTCATATATATTAAGTGTTCCTGTCGGGCTGACATCAAGTATATCGTTAACCTACTTTGCAAAAGTCGTAAGTCCACTTGACTAAATTTGAATGAATTTTGTAGGCCATTGTACTATTTTATCATGTAGTTACTTCTTCCAAAAGTAGAACCATAATGTCTACTTTGATATTAATGTAAAAGTTACTGGCATAGTAGTTCAACTATTATAAAAGTTTCTTACATGCAATAGTTTATGTGAGAAACTGTTATTAACTGACTTTTATTGTCTGATGCCGGCTTAAGAATGTTTATGATAAAATAAAAACTTTGAATTTTTGATACTCTTAACAACTAGTGATATGACAAATTATCATAAAAACAATGAAAGTCCTTTGGAATACTTGATTTTAGAGAATGCAAGTGATTCCACTTTTCTTTTGTCACTATACAAAATGATTGTCGGTTCTTCTGTAAGATCTTCTATTTGTCCTCTCAGGAAATGTGTAATTATAGATGAATACTATTTGATGTGACTCCCCCCGACCCCTCATGTCATATGAAACAAAAGCCGTCATTTGCTTTTAAATCATAAATAGTAAAATTATGTACTATTAATTTAATCTTAAAATTTAAAGATGATACATTAGATTTAGGGGACAATAATACTGCTTGCATATCCATACAGTAAACTTTGCTGTTAGATTGCTTTTTTAAAAGCCTCTCTTGCTTCATTTTTTCTTATTTCATGCAGAGCATACTCTTCTTTCTGTAAGTTATTAGTTTTAAATGCGACACACGTATCACATTAATCTTTTTTGGGTTTAAAGCGACTGAGATTCTTGTGGGCAAAAACTAAATCAAAAACCTTTTGCGACAAAGGTCTTACATTTCGACTTTCAGAACAAGATTTATAAAACGTATAGAGAGCTGCCTTTGACTCCCAGTTTGGTTCTAGATAAACTTTGGATGGTTGAGCTCTACAATAATGGGATTCAAGTTTTGGAGGGAAAATTCATGTAAAATGTCCTTACACCTACAATTATTAATTTTATACACCAGGGACATGGGATTACTCAGTATTTGTACAATCACCCACATTCAACTTTAATTTCACCTTTTTCAGCTTTATATTGAATCGGGTGCTTGTTCAACAAACGTTGCGATAATTTGTAGTACTAACAAAATACTTTAATGTTCTTTTACACAACTGGCAGGATGCAGTCTTCTTGTCTGATGACAATTCGAAAAAATTCCAAACAACTGATCTTATATTCGGAGCCATTATCTAACGGAAATTAAAACAATTACCTATGTTAAAAACTTACCATAATAAAACTGGATTTAACTTTATACCTGTCTGTAAAACATATATTCTATTCACACAAAATATAGTTCAGTTTAAATAAAAATTATTTAAGAAAAACTAGTGCTCACATAAGTGTTTGTTGAAAAATAAATAAATTACTAAATCCTAGCTGGGAAGAGATACTGTAGACATAAACATATTAGTATTTTTTTATATTGCTAAGTAAAAAACAAAAAGGGTGTCGCCCGCCATCCAAAATGTTATAAATTTTTCTGTGAACAAAATCTCAAAGAGTGCCGCTTTCCTTCAATAAATAATAAATATTTTAATAAAAACATTAAGAACTCAACAATCGTAAATCATTGATATTGATAAAAAAAAAGAGACCGCTGGTAGACCAGGAGTGTTAGTAATAAAACTCGAATAAAATGTTGCCATTTCTTTCAATACGTAGGCTGCTGGAAAAGTTTCTGCAAATGATATGTAAAAACACAAGTAAATTTTGAAAAATAGTTTTATTGTTTTTCAAAGTATTCGCTTTTGGGGTCGATACACTGTTGCATGTGCTCGAACCAATTGGTGAGGCATGCTTTTCACTCTGCGGCTGTAACCTCTGAAACCAGCGTTCGGAAAGCGTACTTTTGTTGGTTCCAACTCATTTTGAATCTCCCAGACAGTGGATTGTTGTTTGCTTTCGGGCTCGTACGAATAAACTCAAGTTTCGTCGTCAGTAACGATATTGTAGATCGGATTTGACCGGCCTCAGTTGAATTTCTTACGCATTGCTTTTGTCTTTTTCTGAATGTCGGTCAAATTGTGTGGGATCCAACAACTGCACAATTTTCGTACGTTCAAAATCGTGTGTATGGTACTTCATCCCCAAAGGCAGTCGATCGATGCATTGCTTCGGAGTAAGATTACATCTGTAATCGTAATAAATCATTGCCCGAAAATTTTCACGTGAAAATTCCATTTTTAAAACACTGTACACAGAAAACTACTTCGCTGAGTACAAACTGTCAATTGATTTATAGATTAGAAACGTCTAATTTCTCGAATATTACACTGACAGAACGTTGGCACCACTGGACGTGGTGGATTGCAGAAACTTTTCCAGCAGCCTACGTATACACTCGTATTTGTATTAAAAAATTAACAGGAGTGTCAATATTCCAATTATTCGAATCATCCGATTATGTCCATAACTAATTTATACCCTAATTTGCTGCTTTTGTGCTTTTTGCCATTTTTAATAACGTGACTTAAGACTTGATGTTTATGAATTAAGTATAACTCCAAATCCATACAATGTTTCAGAAGATCTTCTTTATCAGTGGTAAGAAGCGCAGAAATATTATATAAAATTGAAAAGTAATTAGAATGAACTTTCAATAATTCAAGTCTCTCGTCAATTGAGTTAATAATTGTATTCAAAACGACAAAGAAAATCTCAAGTTTAAATTTTTGACACGGATCATTTATTGGCTCATCCTGAGATTCATACAAAAATTGTTTTGTTTTCTTTTCTTGGACGGGCTCTAGTTTCTAGACAAAACCTTGCATCAGTTTCTAGTTCTTGAGCTAATTCATCTGCATCGACTAATACCTCTTGAAAGTATTTATCATTTCTGCAACCCCGGAAGTGGCTGCCAAGTAATTCTAAGGATCTAGTAGACTGGACAATATTTAAGTCGGGGCTCTGCAAAAGCTTGCTAACCAAGTTGATTTTTATTTAAAACATCATACCAAAAAACAATCCATACCAAAAAATCGAACCTTTTTATTTTTTTGCTAAGGTTACGGTTACAGTGCAAGCGATTTCGCGCGAATTACGGTTCGCGCGAAATTGCGCGAATTCGCGCGAACTATCAAACCTGCACAAACAAATGCAGGTGGTTACAGTACATGCGAATTAGTAGCGCTAATCGCTGCTAGAAGTTCAAACAGGTTTGTTTTTTTCGCGCGAACTGAATGCGATCGCGCGATTGTTTTAAGTCTTGTTCAATTGTCTCACAGTAATTATCAGAGATATTTTCAAAATGGACAGTGAAAAACTTATTTTCTTGGTGTTTGATAGAAGGCTATTGTGGGACCAAAAGAGTAAGGGCTATCACAACCGTGATAAATCACGGAAATTGTGGGAAGATGTGGCAACAGAATTAAATGTTAGCAGTTAAGTATATCTTTTTTCGTTTTATTTTGTAGTATACATCACAGAGCATAGGCATGCATGTAAATAATTGTAAATATAAGTACAGTACAATTTATATAATTACTTATATATTATTATACTGCTGTGGTATTGCACCGATTTCGCTATTAAAATATTGTTTAAATGTGTCTCGTACGTCGTATGCTCTATTGGCAGATCTGTTGTTTACACGTGATGTGAAATTGTAATTACTCTGTGAATTGAATAGCTCGGATTGTAATACATTGGACTGATTGATACCTTCTCTGTCTATAATAATATTATGTAATACGCAAATACATTTTACTATTATATCCACCTTGTCAGGATGACATTCTATAGGTTTGTTAAGCAGTCTCCACTTTGCTGCCATTATTCCAAATGAACATTCTACCGTTCTTCGACTGCGTGACAGTCTGTAATTAAAAATTTCTTCTTCGCGTGAAAGATTTCGTTTAGAATATGGTTTCATTAAATATGATTTTAGAGGATATGCATCATCACCTAGTAAAACGTGCGGAAGGATTACTTCGGAATTAGGTAGTTTCTTATCTTCTGGAAGAAAACGTCCGTTTTCTAATTGCTCATATAAAGTGGAAGATGCGAATGTTCCGCCATCGCTTTGCTTGCCATATCCACCCATATCAATGCATAGCAATTTATAATTTGCATCAGCTACAGCTTGTAGTACTACGGAAAAGTACTGTTTGTAATTATAGAACATAGTACCCGAGTTTTTTGGGCATTTAATACGAATATGTTTTCCGTCAATACAACCAACACAGTTAGGGAAATTCCACTTGTCATAAAATGTTGAAGAACTTTTTAATAGTAATTCCTTTGTAGGCTGAGGTAAATGCCGTGTCTGTAATATTTCCCAGATGGCTGTACAAGTTTCATATATGACTCTTCTTATTGTACTATGTGACATTCTGAATGAATAGGCTAAAGAACGAAATCCAAGTCCAGTGGAGAGGAATCTGTAACAAAATAAAAAAAAACCTATAGCTATACAGGGTGACTCAGTCATCAGTACATTATTTTTGAAAAACTAATGACTGAATCGCCCTGTATATTTTACAAAATAAATATTCTTATCTTAGTATCTACTTATGCATTTCCTATACCTATATTTCTTGTTTACACTTTTAGGTGAAGTAGCAAAAACCAAATGGAAAGGATTACGAGATACCTTTCGAAAAGAGTATCAGAAAACTATTAAATACAAACAGTCCGGTGCAGCAGGAGGGGAAAAAAGTGGTTCTTCTTGGCCATACTTCGAGAGTTTGTATTTTTTGGCAGATCAAATGACGCCACGGGAAACTTCGGGAAATATTTCGTTACCTAGAGAGAATTCATTATTACCAGTAAACGAGAAATCAAATAACGGACTAGACGCAGAACCAGAGTCTCCTAAAACGCAAAATACCGACGATAACCATACGAACGACGCAATACAGGTTTTACAATCTACAAGTACTGCCAACCAATCTAAACGACCTAGGGAAGACCAAAATTTATTGCCTGAAACACAACAGCAGGAGCCATTACGTAAACAGCAGGAATCCTCAAGCAAGAAACAACAAACTCTGCCATCGAAATCTGCAAAACGCGGAAATGATGTCCAAAAGAGGATGCTTGCTTTAGAAGAAGAAAAACTAAATTTTTTTAAACAAAGAAAAGTGGAAACAGATATACACAAAGATTATGACTACCATTTTTTAATGAGTTTACTACCTCATTTCAAAAATGTAAAAGATGAAAGAAAGCTCCATGTACAGTTACAGCTGCAACAAGTTCTTCTGAACGAGATAACATCCTACAAAAGTCAGCCATCAGGTCACGTAATTCTCCCAAATAGATTTTCCGGGGTCCACGCTTCATATTCTACTAGTACTACTCCTCAATCAGAACCATCACCTGCTTCTTCAACTCAATCGAGCTGGTATGACTTATCTTCACCTCCACTTTTCTCTCAACCTTCCGTATCCCAGCATTCCAATTCACTAAATAGAAATAAACCTGTTCCTGAAAATGAAGTTCCAGAGGAGGAACACCAAGACTGTCGAGAAGACTATAGTATTGCAACATATGTTACCAATTTCACGGTTTAAAATTAACATTACCCTAATTTTACTACAAGTTTTACTTACCTTAATGTTATTGTTAGCTTTTCGGATGGAGAAATACATTTCCTGAAGTTACACTGTTTTCTTATTGCCTCATCTATTGCATTCAATATATAAGAGTATGTGTCATAACTCATTCGATAATATTCAAAGAACTTTATCGGTTGCAGCTTTAACTCTTCAAAAATCTGGTAATATTCACTTAAATGATGATTTGCGTATATTTCATTAACCCAGAACCGCCTATTTTTCTTATTAAATGCAGATAATCTCAATACTGAATTCTCGGAGAGATAAAATTCTTCTTCGACATCCATAACTTGAAATGTTTAACACCTTCCGCGTCCTATACTTCAATGAAACTGATAAAATCGCTTTCAATCGCGCGAATTTTAGAAACACCAGAAACCATTGCTTGTTCGCGCGAGTAAGCGCATACACGCGCGAATTGTGATTCGCGCGAAATCGCTTGCACTGTAACCGTAGCCTAAGCTATCGGATCGCAAGTCAAATTGTCAGGAATATCTACTAAAGCATCGTAAATATCCTCAAATTGATATTTTAATGCTTTAACAGATTCTATACGGCTTTCCCAATGTGTATCACTAAGAGGTTTAAGAGTCAAGAATTTTAATTCTTCAGTATAGACCTAGACCTATGTATAGAAGCTGAAAAAAGACATAGATGGTCTGTACAAAAGAAAAAAAATAAGGTTTCAAATGTGGCTTTCACAGCGTCATTAATAACTAGATTTAAAGAATAGCTGCACATGCTACGAACATTGCTCTGTTATTAATATTAAGTACTCTCTTTTGGACACCAACATTTTTCCCTCGCATCTTGGCCCCGTTGTCATAACCCTGGCCTCGTACGTTTTTAACGTCCAAACCCATATCTTTAATTTTTGACAGCACGACTTCTGTAAGACCGTAACCAGTACTGTCATGTACAGGCCAATATTCTATAAAATTCTCTTTAACTGCAAACGGATTGGGCTTTACATATCGCAATATGATTGTAAGCTGCCCTACTCTGTTTTTATCTGGAGTGCAGTCCAATATAACGGAAAAATATTTTGAGTTATGTATATCGCAATTTTTTTATTTTCTAATATTACTTGAAATGTTCTGTATTAATTCATTTTGGATATTGTGGCCTAAATAATGAGTTTTTCTTATAGTCGTTTCAATTTTATTTAAATACTCTTTTATTACTGCGTCATATTTAGCAAGCAGTTCAATTGTTTTTAGAAAGTTTCCATTGTTGTGAACGCATAATTTCTCAGGGGACCCCCGAAAAGCGAGTTTTGGTCAGCCAGGAAGAGTATAATGGATATTATTCTTCCTAAAATATTTTTCCAATGCTTTTTCATTAAATTAAAAACTTTCTGGTGCGTAGCATCAATAGTAGTGTTGTTTTAAAGGATTTTTCAAGCATTTTCCACTTATTGCAATTCATAACATGTATTTTGTTAACTTAATGAGAACTCAGCGTTTCTGAAAGATGCTTCAAATCATCAAATAAAGAAGTACATTTATCACTCGTAGAGGAGAACAACTGGCACGGAAAACAATAAACTGAATTCAATGACTTGGAATATATTAGCCATTCCCTTAAACTGTTTTCCCCGTTAGCTAATTTTCTGTAGTAATTTTTACAAGTAAATTGGTGGATTCACACAAATAATACAAAATGGAGAAATTACGATTTCTGTTTAACATTTGCAAAAAGTATCTTCTAGAAAATTCTGAATATGGTACGGCTTTAACTGTTGCTCTCGTAACTCTCGCCACACACTACAGATTGAGATACATTGCCTTATAGGCGTCGAGAAATTTGTCTTGTAGAATTTTCTTCGACAATATTTAAACGTTTTACCAATGCGTTTGGTCTCTTGTGATGCTTTCCACGTTTGTCGATGGATGATTTTAGATTAATGTTGATACTTTTTTGCAATCCTATCAACCTTGCAGGGGTTATTCCATGAACGCTAATACTTTTTTACAAACCGTAATTGCAAGCCAAACGCCTTGTAATGAACCTGTATTAATTTCAAGTTTTATGCAAGGCCGTTGGCCATATATTTATTAGTTTAATTGGGTGAGAGCAATTAACCGCGAGTCGAGCCGAACCGTCCGTTTGCCCCACTTTGTCGAGGGCCGCGCGCATAATCCCACCACGACTCCTGTCTAGTCAAGGGGGGATTGAAGTAATAAAACCAACGATCCCCGACTAAAATCCTCAGTTCGCTGCCAGAACTCGAAGAGCTCCAGTTCCAACCCGAGGACCACCCCGAGGACCTGAACACCGACCAGAGACCGCCACCCGACCCAAGGAGTTAGCCGCCAGAAGCAACCGTCCGGAATAAGCAAATTGTATTTTCCTATTCTCACTTGTCCTGCTATGGTACAAGTCTGGCCGTTTTGAACTCTGGCAAGACAGTACGACCACGGCGTTGTCGGCGAAGGTTTGGCTGGGTCACCCACCGCCCTCGTTCGACGAACGTTGTTAGTCACGTCAACCGAACTGCTGGTTTGGCTGGGCCACCCACCGCCAGTGGAAGACGTTGAGTGCAGGTCCGTACGGCAGCAGCGTTATTGGCGGCGGTTTGGCTGGGTCACCCACCGCCCTCGTTCGACAAACGTTGTGAGCCCCTTTACTGACACTGCTGGTTTGGCTGGGCCACCCACCGCCAGTAGAAGACGTGAAGGTGTCGAAGTGTACAGCAGCAGCGTTGTCGGCGAAGATTTGGCTGGGCCACCCACCGCCCAAGCTTGATAAACGCTGTAAGGCACTATAACCAAAACTGCTGGTTTGGCTGGGCCACCCACCGCCAGTAGAAGACGTTGTGTGTCGGCTGTGCAACGACGGATAGACCCTCGAAGTTTGGCTGGGCCACCCACCGCTTCTGGGAGAAGTCTGTCGGCCGCCCCGCATTTGAACTCGCACCTCGTCCAGACTTTGCCTCCTGTTCACCAACAACATCATTTTCCTGATTACCGTTTGCTTGTTTATGCCTGATGTAAACCGCTTTGCTTGGCTATTTCTCCTGGCTGGTCGCATTTTCGTCGCTTTGCTAGAAACTACCGCCGATATTTATTTGTAGAATTAGAGTAACCCGTAACTATTTTTCTGTTTCAGAACCATTGGGGACAATTTATTTATTGATTATTTATTGCTCTAATTTATTAATCTTATTTTTCCCTTTCTAGCACCGACCGAAATTTAACACCGAATATTATTCTGGCGTACCGTTTCTTAAAGTCTTAGATTGTTTATTAAATAAACCAAACGCCAAAGACTCCGTTTTTCTACCGTACCGATTTTGTGTCCTGATCTTTTGACTATAATTTTTTATTTATTTACAGCACCGAAAAACCGCATCGGCATTTTAAGTCCGTCGTAATAATAATTGCTCTAACCCAATTTATTTCATTCACACCGCTTGTAAATTAATTGTATATTCCTGGTTTTAGTTAGTAATAATAATTGTAATTAGAATCTGTTTTACTTTTGTTTGTTTGTTTCAAATTCAATAGGCCTGATTAATAAATCTAGTAAATATATTTCAAGTTTGTATTCATTCTTAACACCGATAAGATTGATAAATTCCGATCAGTAAAAAGTCTTACTATCTTTTTGTGACCTACACTGATAAGACCGTTTGTTTTAAAAGGAAAATAACACTACACTCAGAGAACTACGTTGATTAAAAGTAAGAAAATATAACCGACCCCTGGATTTAAACTTTCTTCACTGCAGCTATCCCGAGTACTTACTCTAAACAGAGGGTAGGTTTCACGTGGAATTTCCCCCACGTAAAAGATTGGGAAACTGGCGCCCGAGACAAAAACCGAACAAAAAGATTCAATCCGGAGTACGTTCCTGTGACGTCACTCACCACCGCCGGCTGCCAACCACCGCTGCCGATAAACTAGTAGTCGAGGGTCGTCATAAAATTAGGCGTCCAAATAGGGACGTCAGTGACGTCAATAAATCTAGTAAAGTAGAATTCGCAATTGTGAATTAAGATTCCGTTTAGAGTTGGTAGTATACCAGGGGCGGCCACAAGTAACGTCTGAACCGAACAGTCACCACCGCAAAATCAAAACCAAAATAAAGTAAAGTATATAAAGGGTGTTACAAAATTTGGCGACCGAGTAAAGTACGTTACAGCCTCCGTCATTTTTTATTCGAACTTTATACGTGTAGCAACCAGAGTGTTCATAGTTTGGCAACGTTTCGTCATTATCTGAATCCGAATAATCAACAACCCTGCTTAATTGGTTCTAGTATTATAAGGCTGCAAAGATGTGCGTCTTGAAGGTTTTTTGTTTCAGTCTTATAAAACTTTTCAAAATAACTTCTCTCTGTGCCTCTGATAATGCGTTGTGCTGTATTTTTCTCTTTTGCGAATAAATATAATTATATGACTGCTTTGAATAGTGAACCAATTGTGGTTAACAGTGGACTGTATTTTATTTTTGATGCAAATGTGAATTACATAACAAAACGTGTTGTCACTTTGACATTTTTTAGCCAACCCACATTTTTTAAGAAAACTGTGAAACTAGCATGCGGCCACAAAGGCGTGCCTAGAACAAGCTGCAACATGCGTCAAAACATTTATAACGCACACAACTGCAATAATTGATGATCAAACGAACTTACCTGTGTGAAGTTCGATCACAATTATATGAAGCGGCCAATCCGAATATATCACCTTTTACCACGTAGTACACCCTGTAGTACTTAGCGCGCACTATGTTTAAAGCAACCCTACTCCCGCTTCCCCACCTGCTCCCTGCTTGGTTGGCTCCTAGCTGGCATTTCTTTAGATATCCTGTAAGTAATCGCAATCCGGGGTATTTCTTTGTTAACCCATGTTGTAACACGCTAATTATATAATAACTATTTGTATGTCTCAGTTATATTTAGTTTATCGTTTCGGTTGTGGGTGGGTAGGTGATATATTCGGATTGGCCGCTTCATATAATTGTGATCGAACTTCACACAGGTAAGTTCGTTTGATCATCAATTATATTTCAGCGGTCAATCCTCTA